AAAAAAAAAAAAAAAAAAAAAAAAAAAAAAAAAATGTTGTGAATTTTTATAAGGAACTCTGCTTTAAGACCAGTCTTTTCAATTTTTTTCTCTTTTTCATTTTTTGGTGTCATCCTTTCTTTCTCTTCCTTTCTCATTTTTTCATTAATTTCGTTTATTTCTTAATTTCTCCTGTTTCCGATACTTTTAAATTTTAGGTATTTCGTTGTATCTTTATTAAACTTATATGTACATATGTTTTATACAGTTTTTTGTGTCTAGTACTTTATTAAAAAGTTTAGCAAATTAAAAATCTGTAAAACAAAAACAAAAAGCGGTAGTTTTCGACAACACATTTTAGGTAAAACCGGAGAAAAGAATCAAATTTTAGATTCGAAGTTGATGACAACCAATGAAAGGTACAGGCGGAGAAAAGAAGGTTAAAAGTTGTGGTAATTTGAAACATGATATAATTTATTCTTTAGCACCTGCAACTTTTAGTTGTTTTACCAGCAGATTTTAGAGTTTTATGCAGTGATAAACTGCAGTTGTTCTGATCAGATGAGAAAGTGTAAAATAATCTGAGCAAAAAAACTTGAAAATAAGCTGGAAAATTTCATTGATTGTACACTTTTTGATGTTCTTTTCAACCTTTGTTTATAAATAAAATTGAACGTGTTCGACTGTCTTACAAGCACTACAGCAGAATTGAATATCTGTTTTTTTTTTTTTTACAACGTTGGCTGTTAATGGTTATCACGTAATACTCAATTTTTGCTCAAAGTCTAATTGCTTGAACAGATAAATTCAATGTAGACAGCAAACAGTTTGGATGTTCTAAAAATACAAAGTAAATTAATTTTTACCTCGGTTATACAGTGTATTCAACAGTACTCAGTGATAAACAAGCTTATCATAACAATAGCTATAAAACATTTGGACACTTGTTGAGCAAAAAATTGAATAAAAAGTGAAATTAGCAGGTGTTACACTAAGCAATAACTTAATCCTCAACAATTAAGACTTCTTAAGACTCCATTCTTTTACCGCTTAAAAATTTATACCTCTTAATAGCTGCAGAAAAAATTCTTAATATTAGTTCATTGTAATAAATAAAAGATAAATGACTTTTTACATTTTTTTTGCACTTTTTACTTCCTCTTATTTTGCTCGTGCTAAATTTAAAGAACATAATTACTTGTTTCTTTTTTGCCACAACAGTCCCAGTATGCTTGAGTAATCGATTAAATTTTAGTCTAAAATGTAAAAAAAAAAAACAAACTGTTCAGCAGATAATTGACATACCACTATCAAAACCAACAGAATAGTAATACAGCAGTGAAGAAGTACTGTAGAGATGAAAAGCTAACAGATGGTGAAGACCAAATCTCAATCTCTTTTAATCCTGTTCTTACCGCTGCTAATTACTCGCATTATACTGTTTAATGTTGTCGTCATCGTTGCCGTTTTTGTAATCGTTGCTATTCTTGCTGTTGTCACATGCATATATTATTATTTCACGTGGAACTGAGCTGCTCAGTATTACCTTCAAAAACTGCTATTGTTCAGCTGATTGACCACATTTGGGAAAAATGTTATTTTGCACTTAACAGTCGATTGGAAGATGAAAACTGAAAGTTCAACAGAAATTTTTGATAGAAGAATAGGCAAGTGAATTTTTAATTGCATAATGTTCTTTAGAAGGTACACTATCAAACAGTGTTGATGACTGCTCAGAAATTTTCGTTCTTCTTCGTTTTTTATTCCAATTTTGTAATTTTTTAAAAGATAGTTTGAAAAAGTAGAAAAAAAACTATTACATTGCCATTAGTCAATTCATTACAGTTTTTCAGCTATCTGTTTTCACATAACATAAATTAAGAAGATTAGAAAAAAAAAGCTCAAAATGTGGTTTTGAGCTTTCACAAAATGCAAATGAAAAAACTGAATGAGTTTCTTTTT